TGAGTTATTTCTACATTTTCAGTATTGTGAATAGAGCTGTGAACATTAGTTCATACAAGTTTATGTCGCAACACCTCTCTTTCAAATATTGTAGGTATATATTTAGGAGCGGAATTGCTTCTCATATGGCAAGTCTATGTTAAACTTTTAAAGGAGGCTAAAGTGTCCCAGAGCTGCTCCCTTCCTGTTTTTGGAAGGGTTCAAGAAGGATTGGTCTTAATTCTTTTTCATATGTTCATAGAATTCAGCAGTGAACCCATCTGGCTCTGAGATTTTCTTTGTTTTATTTCTGATTCTATCTCTTTAGTTATTACAAGTCATTTCAGATTTTTCTGTTTCTTCTCGAATCAGTGTTGGTAGTTTGTGTGTCTGTAGGAATTTTTTTGTTTGCTCTAGAATATCTGATTTGTTGGTGTACAGTGGTTCACAGTATTCCCTCATAGGCTTTTTATTTCTATAAAGTCAATAGTAATATCTCAATTTTCATTGTCGAATTTTTTGATCGCTCAGAGGAATAACTTTTAGCTTCATTGATTTGCTCTATTATTTTCTATTCTCTAGTTTGTTTTTCTCCATTCTTTTTATTTGCTCTTCTTTTTCTAGTTTCTTAAGATGTAATCTTAGGTTATTTATTTTGGATTTTCCTCCTTTAATAATGTAGGCATTTACAGCTGAAATTTCCTTCCAAGAACCGCTTTCACCGCACCTCATCAGTTTTCACCTGCTGGGTTTTCATATTTATTGATTTCAAAGTATTTTCTAATTTTCCTTGTGATTTCTTTCTTAATTCATTGGTTGATTAGGAATATGTTGTTTAGTTTGCACACATTTGTGAATTTTTCAGTTTTCCTCTGTTATTGACTTTTAGTTTTATTTAATTGTGGTTAGTGAAGATGTTTTGTATAAATTAATTATTTTCTAATTTGCTGTGACTTTTTTTTTTTTTTTTTTTTGAGACAGAGTCTCGCTTTGTTGCCCAGGTTAGAGTGAGTGCCGTGGCGTCAGCCTAGCTCACAGCAACCTCAAACTCCTGGGCAGGAGCGATCCTCCTGCCTCAGCCTCCCGAGTAGCTGGGACTACAGGCACAAGCCACCATGCCCGGCTGATTTATATATATATATATATTAGTTGGCCAATTAATTTCTTTCTATTTTTATGGTAGAGACGGGGTCTCGCTCAGGCTGGTTTTGAACTCCTGACCTCAAGCAATCCACCCGCCTCGGCCTCCCAGAGTGTTAGGATTACAGGCGTGAGCCACCGCGCCCGACCTTACTTTCAGAACTTTAAATTTGTCCTCCCACTGCCTTCTGGTTTCCATGGATTCTGAAAAGAAATCCCTGTTAATCTTATTGAAGAGCCCTGGTCCTTGATGAGTCATTTCTGTCTTGCTGTTTACGAAACTCTCTGTGTCCTTCATAGTTTGATTATACTGTATTTCAGTGTGGATTTCTTTGTGTTTATCCTACGTAGAATGTTCTCAGCTTCTTGAATCCGTAGATTCACATCTTTCATCAAATTTGGCAAGTTTTGACCTAGCTCGTGCAACTGTAGTGTAGTAATCATAAACCTTCTCATCCACCTTGGCCCCTTCCCTGCCATGCTTTGGCTGATAGGACTCTCTCCGCTGGCTCAGGCTGGTGCCATCATGTCCTTTCTACATGTAGGGAGACTGAGTCCCAGAGGGAGCTTCAACAGCCTGTCCATCCATTGGGTCAGGTCCTTCTATGATATTTTCTCCCGGCATCCATAACTTTAAGGAACTTCTGTGATCGTGTTGATTGTGCCTGACGTGCTGGATAAGCAATGCTCTGGGCACTGTGGGTGTGGCAGAGACACCGCCACCATGTGACATGAGCCCTCCCTCCTGCCCCTGCCCTAGACGGCAGAGGAGAGGCTAAGGTTGTGTCTTTCTCTGTCCTTTTCCCAGCATCTCTTCCACCTCCCTACAAGCTCCGGGAAGTGCAGGTCACCATCTTAAACACCAGGTGTAGCTACGTGTTCACGCAGCCCTCTAGATGCATTCCGATCCACCATTCCATGTTTTGTGCTGGTGCTGAGGATGGCAGCATAGACACTTGCAAAGTGAGTGCCCGTGCCCCACCAGGGAATCCCACCCTTCCCAACCCCGGGCCTGAGAGCAACCCCATGTGCCCACACAAACCTACCCTTGGCATTTATTCATGAGAAAGCATTTGCAGTCCTTATTTACCAAGGCTATAAAACATGCTTTTCATTTTGAATAAATTGTACCTCCTCTGATCATCCCACCAACCCTGGGAGGCTATTGCCCCACTTTGCAGATGCAGAAACTGAAGCTCAGTTGCTGGCAGGGGAGGAGTAGCATTTGCACCCAGCCCCAGGGCCCCTCCTGCTCTCCCAGCCCCTCCTCTGCTCCCTGAGCCTGCCCCAGGCTGGTCTCACCCACGCTGCTCCCCAGGGTGACTCAGGCAGACCCTTGGTCTGTGACAAGGACGGACTGTGGTATCAGGTTGGAGTCGTGAGCTGGGGAACGGGCTGTGGGCAGCTCAGCCGGCCCGGTCTCTACACCAACATCAGTGCGTGCTTCACCTGGATCCAGACGCTCATGTCCTGCAGTACAAACAGGCCGGACCCCTCTGGGTTACTGCTGCTCTGCTGTGGTCCCCCGACTCCTACAACCGGTCTGAGTCCGCCAGAGCCCCTGAAGGTGCAGTGGGCACCACAGCCGTGGCACACTCCCCCTGGACTGTGGGCGCTCCAGGGTTGGGTCGGGGTTGCCTGCTGGACAGGCCCCAGTCCCCCACTCTGTCCTGATTGCTAATGAAGATGTATGCATGTCCCAGTTGATGCTTGCAGAGCTTTCTGTGGACCCCAGTAGCGTCATGGACAACTCCATCTTGCTCACTCATGTCCAGTCCAGGCCCAGACTCCACATTAACTCTTAAATCTTATTCCAGAGTTTGGTTGCAAACAACAGAACCCTCTCCTGGTAGTTCAGTCAGGATGATAATTGATGGAAACAGTAGAAGCTCCAGGGTGGCAGGGTCTGGGAAGCCTAGGGTGGGGGTGCCATGGAGTAAATGCTCCCAGTGCCCCCACCATTGCAGGGTTCCCCCTCTCACAATGCCAGACACTCCCGGCATTACCATGTTCCCCCAAAGGTCAACATGGCCCAAGACTCGGGTGCTAGTAGTTCACTGGAAGGTGATCCCAGGAAGCAAAGGTGAAAAGGTAGGGAAACTGAGGCAAGAAAGAAAGAAATTCTGATGCATTTGCTCAAACTAGAAGGTTACTATAGAATACAATAGATGCAGAGTTCTGCTGGGGCCTCAGCTTTGGCACACTGAGGACAAGAACACTAGGGGAGGACATCTCTCTCATGACCACCCCACTGAGGGTGGTCCTGGGGACATGGGGTGCAGCTGCCCCCAGGTGAGGCTGTGAGCACTGAGAGTTACAGCAGCTGCACCCTAAGTGGCTGGGGCGGGGAGAGTCGGAGGGCGTCAACCATGTGTGTCCCCCATCAGTGTTCCCTGACCCCAGCATCAGTGTGGCCAAGGGACCAGCCAAGCAGGGCAGACTCAGTGGGCCCTCTGAGCTGTGAAGGCAGATCTGCACTTGCCAAGATGCCTGAATGCTGTGAGCAGAAGGTGGGAGGGGCTCTGGCCTGACTCCGCCGCCTCCCCAGCCCACAGTCCTGCTGCGTGGAAAATGCACCCACCAGCGGCAGACCTCCCAGGTCACCGATGAGCCTGGGGAGCAAGGCTGGAGGGGCTTCCGGCTCCCCACACCAGGGCGGGGAGCAGCCACAGTTGGTCCCTGCCTAGGATGTCCTCCTGCCCTGCAGGACAGCATCACTCACCAGGTGCAGCTGACCTGATTGCAGGTGGAATTGCCAGTCTGCTACAATTGTATCAGAGAGCACGGTGACCCAGCCAACGAGCTGTTCCCCTGCCCCCTGGGGTGCTGTGCGTGGGTGGGAGTCAGGGGAGGCCCCGCCTGGTGAGCAGGCTCGGCTGGTCCACACAGAGGAAGAGTGAGGCTGGGAGAGTGTGGGTGGATTCCAAGGTAGGGCTAGAGTGGACACGGCTGTTGCCAGGGGACAGCAGATGAGTCCAGCAGCCCTTTCTAGGTGTGAGGGTCTGCGGCCTTCCCAGTGGACTTGGATGAATAGAGAAGAGATGGAAGTTGGCCAGAGGGAACGTGTTCAGAGACAGAAGGCACCCCAAACCAAAGTGTCCTGTTTCCCAAGGTCAGGTCTGCCCCTGCTCTGGTCAAACAAGAAGTACTGCTAGCTCTGCACCAGTGGCACCCCACATCCAGCTCCTCCACACTCATGATCTAGGAAGGGGCTGGCCAGGCTGGGGTCTCTGTGTAGGACCATCTGGCCAGGCCTGGGGTCCAGGGTCTGTGGTCAGGGCTCCACGCCAGGATGACTGGACGAACAACAGAGCTCAGAAGCCCCAGCAACCGAGCACTGCCAGGAGCCGGGGTCAGGTTCCGAGGTGAGCTGCCAAGGATTCTCGGGAACTTCCTGGCCTGACCACAGGCCCCTCCCTGCCCGCCCTCCTTGGGCCCAGGCTCTGGCCCCCAGCTCTCAGCACGTTGGCCCAAGCCAGGCTTGGCTTCCTTTGAGAAACCCAGGTGTCCCTTCCCTGCCACCTGTAAAGAACTGTTCAAAGCATCTTTGTTTAAGGTGAAGCCACAGCTCCGCCTTGGCTCTGTTAATCACCCCATCTGGGTCTCCCCCCTCCTGGCCCTTTAAGCCCCCGGGCGCTCCCCCAAGCCCAGTCAGCAGAGAGGCCACCAGGCTGTGAGGTGAGAGCGGGCAAGGCAGCTGCTGGGCACAGGGAGAATGCAGGAGGGCCGTGGGGCTCCGGGGCGTCTGTTGAGCCCTAGGATGCACAAACAGCTCAGGACGGGGCTGCACCGTGGCCAGTGGCGGTCACCTGGGGCTGCCCACAGGAAAACATTTTACAGCCTGGGCCACAGGGATGGATCCAGGGCCAACAAGCAGCTGAGAGCAGACAGAAGGGCCACAGGGGGGGGCAGGGGGATGGAGCCCCTGGGCTAGGACGCCCCCCTCTCCTCTCTGCCAGCTCCAGACCAGAGTCCCAGCCTTGGGCAGAGCTACTCACGCAGCCCAGCCCAGAAGACAGAATGAGGGGGGCTTCCTGCCTCCAGGCCCTGCTCCTGCTGGTGCTGGGTGAGTGGGGGCGGGGGACTGGGGATGCCGGCCACGGGGACCCGGGCTCCCAGGTCTCCCATCTCACCTCTTTCTGGGTCTGGTTCCCCTAGAGCACTCTCGGGGCTTCTAATCTTGATTCCAAAGGTCCTAGTCCTTTCTCCACTGACTGTGGCTTCTCCAGACCCTGATGTGCTTGGCTGTGTAATGGGCATAAGTCCCTTCCTCCACATCCTTACAGTGCTCTGGGGAGGGTTAAATCCAGTAGCAGATTGCACAAAATCCTGACACAGGGTCCGGGGAACAAATATGTTCCATCCTTATTCCTATTCTCTAACCTCCCTCCCCAACCCCGTTATTTGACACCAAATCCACAATCCAGTCCATTCCCTGCTTCCTCCTCCAGGAGCTGCTGGGACCCAGGTAAGGAAGTCTGCAGGTAAGGAAGCCTCAGAGCCCGCACGCTTCAGCCCCCCTGGACCTTGTCCCCGTGTCTCCCCGCCGCCTGCGCCCCCAGTCCTCAGCCAACGCTCGCCGCCCCCTCGTCCTCTCGCAGCCTGCGGGCAGCCCCGTGCGTCCAGTCGGATCGTGGGGGGCCGGGATGCCCAGGAAGGAGAGTGGCCCTGGCAGGCGAGCATCCAGCGCCGTGGGGCGCACGTGTGCGGGGGGTCGCTCATCGCCCCCGAGTGGGTGCTGACAGCGGCGCACTGCTTCCCCAGGTCAGCGCTCACGGAGAGCCCGCGGGGTGCGCGGGGAAGGCGAGGCCCGCGGGGGAGGGGCGCCGCCTGGCGGGGGCGCGGGGACCGTGCCGGCCTCCAGCCAGCTGGTGGGGGTCAGGGCCCGCGAGGGTCGAGGCCCCGGTGCAGCGGGTAGTCCCAGATCCCGTCGTGCAGGAGGGCGCCGCCGTCAGAGTACCGCGTGCGCCTGGGGGCGCTGCGCCTGGGCCCCGCCTCGCCCCGCGCGCTCTCGGCGACTGTGCGGCGGATGCTGCTGCCCCCAGACTACTCGGAGGACCGGGCCCGCGGCGACCTGGCGCTGCTGCAGCTGCGCCGCCCGGTGCCCTTGAGCGCTCGCGTCCAGCCGGTCTGCCTGCCCGCTCCTGGCGCCCGCCCAGCGCCCCGCTCACCGTGCTGGGTCACTGGCTGGGGCAGCCTCCGCCCAGGAGGTAAGGCCCGGAGGGCGGGGCACAGGGGCATTGGGGGAGCTCCCCCCTCCTCCTCTATCTGACTGTAAATCCCAGCCCCCCAGTACCCCAACCCAGGACCAGCGAGACTTCTAGGCATTCAAACCTCCTCCCAGGCAGACCAGGGAGTTCGAGCCTGCAAATCGGACTCCCGTGCTAAGCTTCCCCCCTTCTCCCACTGACCCCAGCCTCATGCCTTGCTCCTTCCCGGCTCTCAGACATATCCCCTCTTCCCTCAGTGCCACTCCCAGAGTGGCGACCGCTGCAGGGAGTGAGGGTGCCTCTGCTGGACTCACGCACCTGTGACCGCCTCTACCACGTGGGTTCGGACGTGCCCCAGGCCGAGCGCATAGTGCTGCCAGGGAACCTGTGTGCCGGTTACATCGAGGGCCGCAAGGACGCCTGCCAGGTGTACCTCCCTGCCCCCAGCCTCCGATCCACACCCCTGTGCCCAGCACCTACCTTCCTAGACTCCAAGACCCAAAATATACCAACTCCAGGCTCAGTGTCCTGGCCCCCAACCCAGAGGTACAACCTCAGGGCTCTAGAGCCTACAGAGTATTCTCAAGTCTTGGGAAGGCTGGGGCCTAAGATCGCTTTTCTTCTGCAGGGTGACTCTGGGGGACCCCTGGCCTGCCTGCAGTCTGGGCGCTGGGTCCTGGTGGGCGTGGTGAGCTGGGGCAAGGGTTGCGCCCTGCCCAGCCGACCGGGTGTCTACACCAATGTGGCCACATACAGTCCCTGGATTCATGCTCACCTCAGCCTCTAATGGTGGTTGGTGATGTTGATCTGGAGCCAGACGCTGGGGTCCCTCAGCCCCCGGGGACCTACAGAAACCCCCTTCTCCTCTTGTGAGGCTGAGATGCCTAATAAAGCTAAGGGGCCATCCCTGGCCGCCTCTGCTCCCTGGGGCTCACCAAATCTGACTCCCCCCATCCAGGTGTCTTTCCTGCATGCTGGGGTCACACTCCCTCCCCTTCTGGCTTGTATTTACCTTCCTCAGCCCTGGCCAGGGGTGGGTGTGGAGCACCCCGAGATGGGCAGACCTGCGGGTGCACCATTGGGCCTACACGCCCGTCTTTTTCTGGAGGGAGCCAGGCAGATTTGGAGCATGAGAGGGAGACTCTCCGTTGCTGGAGTTGCAGGTGGAGGGGCCACGAACTGTGAGCAACATCTGGGCGCTGACAGCAGTCCCAGCTGACAGCCATCAGGGAAACCAAAACCTCAGACCCACAACCCCAAGGAACTGAATTCTGCCAACACCCCAAAGAGACTTGGAAGTGAAGTCTTCTTCCACCTCCAGATAAGAGGCCCACAGCCAATCCCTTGATTTCAACCTGGTGAGACCTTAAGCAGAGAACCTACATGAGCTACTGGACTTCCAACCTACAGAGTTGTGATTTAGTAAATTTGTGTTGTCTTAAGCTGCTACATTTGTGGAAATTTGTTATACAGCACCAAAAATGAATATAGATTTTGCCCCACTGTGACAGAGGTGTCCCAGTGGGAAGGGGGGTAATGGTCACTGTAGCCGGCCCCCATGTACTCCGAGAGGCTCAGGAGTCTGGGCATTTGGCATCACCCCCTCAGCCTAGGAGTCAGGAGCGCCCAGGAAGGCCCAGCCACAGCTCTGCCCTCATTGTCTCTGACCACCATTGCCCCCCAGAGTGACCCTGAGGCCCCAGCCCCTCCCCACACAACTGCATCTGGACAATGACCTACCTCCTGTTCAGCTCCTTGCACACCCTTGTGTTCTATTTCCGGCCCAGGTCCGGGCAGCCAGTCCCCTCCCTGCCCCATCCATTCTTGTCTGCAGACCGAGAACCACCCATGCCAATAGATAGATGTCAATTTCGACACCTGCAGAAGGAACAAGAAACCAAACAAAATCTGCAAAATTCAAAGCCTACTCTTTGGAGCTGGCAGGGACAGTAGGGGGTGGGAAGGGAAAACAGGAGAAGGTGAACATCAAAGTGCAGTCGGTCAGGCCCCAACACAGGCCTGAGTCCCACCCCCTCCCCTCTTTTCTCCCAGGGGACCCAGGGAAGTGGGTTGTACTAGATGGTCATGCTGGGCCAGGCCAGATTGGGCAGGGAGGGAGCTCAAGTCTGCCCTCTCCCCCAGGTCAAGAGAAGTCCATACTACAGTGGAGCTTGGCCACCCCTAATAGGGTCACCAGGGACCAGGGAGCCCAGAACAGGGCATGGCAGGCCATCCTGCAAAAGGCCACGGGCACACAGCCCAGGGCCCTGGCTTTGGAGACATTCTCTGAAAGCTGCTACCTGTGAAGTTCATTTACATAACAAGACCGCCTTCATGGTCTCTCCCTGTGCTATTAGAATTAAATACACCATTCCACATATAGGTAACCATCATGTGTTGGGCAGGTGGGGGAGGGGATGGGTATATTCACACCTGATGGATGTGGTGCCACTGCACTGTCTGGGGGATGGACACACTTTGAAGCTCTCACTCGGGTGGGGCAAAGGCCATATATATAACCTACACATTTCTTTCTTTTTTTTTTTTGAGACAGAGTTTCGCTTTGTTGCCCAGGCTAGAGTGAGTGCCGTGGCATCAGCCTAGCTCACAGCAACCTCAAACTCCTGGGCTCAAGCAATCCTCCTGCCTCAGCCTCCTGAGTAGCTGGGACTACAGGCATGCGCCACCATGCCCAGCTAATTTTTTTCTATATATATTAGTTGGCCAATTAATTTCTTTCTATTTATAGTAGAGATGGGGTCTCGCTCTTACTCAGGCTGGTTTCGAACTCCTGACCTCAAGCAATCCGCCCGCCTTGGCCTCCCAGAGTGCTAGGATTACAGGCGTGAGCCACCGCGCCCGGCCTAACCTACACATTTCTACCCCCGTAATATGCTGAAATAAAAAATAAAAATAAATGAAAGCATTAAATACCATTAAAAATTCTATTTGTCGGCCGGGCGCAGTGGCTCACGCCTGTAATCCTAGCTCTTGGGAGGCCGAGGCGGGCGGATTGCTCAGGGTCGGGAGTTCAAAACCAGCCTGAGCAAGAGCAAGACCCCGTCTCTACTATAAATAGAAAGAAATTAATTGGCCAACTGATATATATGTATAAAATTAGCCGGGCATGGTGGCGCATGCCTGTAGTCCCAGCTACTCGGGAGGCTGAGGCAGGAGGATTGCTTGAGCCCAGGAGTTTGAGGTTGCTGTGAGCTAGGCTGACACCACGGCACTCACTCTAGCCTGGACAACAAAGCGAGACTCTGTCTCAAAAAAAAAAAAAAAATTCTATTTGTCAACGGCCAGATGACATTAAGATGGATCCTTTAAATTAGACTCTTCAGTTTATATATATATATATATTAGAGATCTCTTATTCTAAACGATTGCCTTCTTTGTATTTATGGGAGGACTAAACTTAAAAAGATGCGTAACAGTTTCGTGTCTAGCCTTAAAAATTCTCTTGACAAAGTTAAAGAGCAAAACTCTGACCAAAAGCAAAGATAAACTCCTTTGTATGCTGCCCCTGTGGGGTTACCAGCAGAGGCCAGTCCACCTGTGACGTGGGTTTGATTCCAGCTAGAGAGCTGGACCCTGGGGATTTGATGTTTATGTGACTTTGGACTTTCTCACTTACTATTGATCTTCTTCACTTCCTTACACAGCCTTTCATTTCCTGTCTTCTTCCCCCTCTCTGAGGGGGCACGTGAGGCTTTGGGGCCTCTGTATGTAGGTGAGAAGCTGAGACCTTAGAAACATAAAAAACGTGTAACTGGATAAAAATGTGGGTTATACTTCGTTTGTGGCTAACAAAACTTTCCTTTCTTAGTGCTGCCTGTGGGGCAGTTCTGGATCCTGATGTTGTGGCAAGTGACCAGCGATTGACCAGGGAAAGAGCCGAGCAGCACACAGAGGGCCGGATAATCAGCTTTTATTTCGCCAGTGGGCTCAGAGGGGCACGCCAACAAACTGAGCACCGCTTCCTTATATTTCTCCAGTCTTAACACACTTCTTGGGGTTACACACAACCAATATCCAACTAACAGTGGGATTAGTAGGATCAGCTAGAAGCCTCACATGTATATAATCAGTAGTGGGTTTTGCCTTGGGCGGGGGCTTTCCCTATCATTAGTAGGATAAGCTTCACGTGTATCCAATCAGCAGTGAGCTCAGCCATGGGGCCCCGGGGGTGGAAAAAACCGCTTTCCACAGCTTTGGAGACTGCTCCTGTGTCCTTGGTTAAGTCATAAGTTTGGTTAAACTTAACATAACAAGTACCTTTATTTTCTTTTTTGAGACAAAGTCTCACTCTGTTGCCAGTGCTAGAGTGCTGCTCAAATGACCTGCCCACCTCGGCCTCCCACAGTGCTAGGATTACAGGTGTGAGCCACCAACATGCCTGGCCCTAAAGCCAATTTTTAAAAGCGTATATCTGCCGGGCGTGGTGGTTCATGCCTGTAATCCTAGGACTCTGGGAGGCCAAGCAGGCAGATCGCTCAAGATCAGGAGTTCAAAACCAGCCTGAGCAAGAGTGAGATCCTGTCTCTACTAAAATTACAAAGAAATTAATTGGCCAACTGAAAATATATAGAAAAAATTAGCTGGGCATGGTGGTGCATGCCTGTAGTCCCAGATACTCGGGAGGCTGAGGCAGGAGGATCGCTTGAGCCCAGGAGTTTGAGGTTGCTGTGAGCTAGGCTGATGCCATGGCACTCTAGCCCAGACAACAGACTGTCTCAAAAAAAAAAAAAAAAGAGCCTTCCTAGTAACATGGGATTAGTTTTAACATACAACCACAAACTCATGTCTAGATTTTGAAGACCCGGGAATGGGTGGTGGGGGGTAGAATGTAAAGGAAATTAAAAATCTCAGGACCACCCACCCAACTCCTTATGCAAAGGGAAGGGGCAGAACAGAGAGAAACAAGACCAGATCAGTCGTTCCTCCACCTACCCAGAGACTGCATTCCTTTACTTCCTTTTTCACCTTAAACATTCACCTTATACGAAGTGTAGATTTCCTGGGCACTAATCAAAGTCTCATATTTGTCTTATCACCTACATCCCCCACCCTCTTTAAGGAAACTTATCAATACTAAATCTCCTGTCAACAGAAAAGAACCCAAACTCTATAAAAATAATTTAAAGAGGTTTATTCTGAGCCAAATATGTTTGACCATGGCTGGGAGAGCTGAGCCCAAGAAGCTGTGAGCAAATTGTCTGGATATAGTTGGGTTAGTTTGGTTTTAGACATTTCAGGGAGACAGGAATTACACATAAATTCATAAATCAACACATGGAAAGCGGTTGGCCTGAAAAAACAGGATAGCTCAAAGTGGAGCATTACAGGTTATATGTGGGTTTAAAGGTTCTCTGATTTGTAATTGGTTAAAGAAATCAAGCTTTGTCTAAAGCAGCCGATGGCCTGCCAGCCACATGTCGCCTGCTGAAGACATTTATCGGGCCACCTGGTGTTTTTGCGCAGCTGCCTGTCCTGCTTAGCAGCGGAGTCGTCCCCGGCCCACAGTGCGCATTCCCCAACAGTCTGAGGGACAGTGAACTGGCCTCCTGTTTAAAAAGTTTGAGGACCCCTGGAAAGGCTTGGAATTTTTTTTTTTTTTTTTTTTTAATAGGCACCAATCCAGGAGGGCTTGGAATATTTTAAGTTAAAGAAGTGTGTTAGGGCCGGGCGTAGTGGCTCACGCCTATAATCCTAACACTCTGGGAGGCCAAGGCGGGCGGATTGCTCAAGGTCAAGAGTTCAAAACCAGCCTGAGCAAGAGCCTGAGCAAGAGCGAGACCCCGTCTCTACTATAAATAGAAAGAAATTAATTGGCCAACTAATATATATAGAAAAAATTAGCCAGGCATGGTGGCGTATGCCTGTAGTCCCAGCTACTTGGGAGGCTGAGGGAGGAGGATCGCTTGAGCCCAGGAGTTTGAGGTTGCTGTGAGCTAGGCTGACGCCATGGCACTCACTCTAGCCTGGGCAACAAAGTGAGAGTCTGTCTCAAAGAAAAAAAAAAAAAGTCTGTTAGTTAGAAACAAGCCACTCGACATATACCTGCAGGTGTAGTTCAAGCTTTATCTTGTATAGCCATAGGCCGTTTAATGAGCTACAAAGGCCATTTCCAAGAAGGGAGTGGAGGGGGGATGACAGGGTATGTCTGACCTCCCTTCTCATGGCCAGAAACTCAGCTTTAGAGAATTTCTGGGGTACCCTGGGCCAAGAGGGGAGTTAGCTGGGGGGCGCTTAAGATTTTATTCAGTTCACACTCCTAAAACCTCTTTGGAAAAAAGTCAAAGATGCATCTGTGGCTTGTGTCTTTCCCTAGAGCTGCCTTAATAAACCTCAACTGATTGAGCTCCTTGCCTCAGTCCCCCATTTGGGTTATCCCGTGTCTCCCCCAAGGCACATCATTCATTCACTCTCCCTAGGATGG